AAGTTGTAGAGTGTTTTTATCAAAACAGAAAGCAAGGAAGACAGTAGTTATATGTATGCACTGGAGATATTCGATCAAATCATGTGTTTTTGTTGTTGTTGTTGTTGTTGTTGTTGTTGTTGTTTAAGAGAAGGAGTTTCACTCTGTTGCCCAGGCTTGGAATGCAGTGGCATGATCTTGGCTCTCTGCAACCTCCACCTCCTGGGTTCAAGCAATTATCCTGCATCAGCCTCCAGAGTAGCTGGGACTACAGGCGCACAATTGCCACATCCGGCTAATTTTTGTATTTAGTAGAGACAGGGTTTCACCATGTTGCCCAGGCTGGTCTCGAACTCCTGAGCTCAGGCATTCCACCTGCCTTGGCCTCCCGAAGTGCTAGGATTACAGGTGTTAGCCACTGTGCCCAGCCAGCCAACCATAAGCTGCAGTTACCTGAAATAAATAAATCTTCTCTGTGCAGTTAAGCCACCCACTTGATTAGGCAGGTTCATTTATTAAATTTTGCTTTTGACATTTAGGAATGTAAATGTTTAAAATATTGCATAACTACATATAAAACATTCATGTCATTTGAAAGGAAAATCTATAAACTTCTATCCCTGTCTTGTCTACCCATCTACCTTATTTCTTCCCAACCTCGTAGGTAACTATTTAATCTCCTTTATGGATTATCCTTCCTTTTTAAATATTATGTTAACGTACAATTTAAAACTAAGCTATCCCATTCCATCCCATCTGTATTAGTCTGCTTTTGCATTACTATAAAGAAATACCTGATACTGCATCAGAGTAAAGAGGTTTAATTGGCTTATGGTTTCACTGGCTGTACAGGAAGCATGATGCTGGCATCTGCTAAGCTTCTGGGGAAGCCCCCAGGAAACTTACAATCATGGTGGAAGGCGAAGGGGCAGTATGCTTGTCTTACATGTGGCCAAAGCAGGAGCCAAAAGAGGGTGGGAGGTGCCCCTCTCTCTCTCTCTCTTTCTTTCTTTCTCTTTCTTTCTTTCTTTCTCTCTCTCTCTCTTTCTTTCTTTCCTTTCGCTCGTCTCTTTCTTCCTTTCCTTTCTTTCCTCTTCTTCTTCTCTCTTCTCTTCTCTCTCTTCTTCTCTCTTCTCTTTCTTTCTTTTCTTTCTTTTCTTTCTTTCTTTCTTTCTCAGATGGGAATTTCAGCCTTATTGTCCAAGCAGGAGTGCAATGCATTAATCTCAGCTCACTGCAACCTCCACCTCCCAGGTTCATGCAATTCTGCTACTTCTCTGCTCCCAAGTAGCTGGGATTACAGGTGTGCGCCACCATGCCCAGCTAATTTTTTGTATTTTTAGTAGAAACGGTGTTTCACCATGTTAGCCAAGCTGGTCTCGAACTCCTGACCTCAGGTGATCGGCCTGCCTCAGCCTCCCAAAGTGCTGGTATTACAGGTGTGAACCACCGCGCCCGGCCATGCCACACACTTTTAAATGAACACATCTCCATGTGAACTCACTACCATGAGAACAGCACCAAGGGGGATATCCACCCGCATGATCCAGTCACTTCCCATCAGGTCCGATCAACATTGGGGATTACAATTTATGAAATTTGGTCAGGACACAGATCCAAACCATATCATTCTACTCCCCAGCCCCTCCCAAATCTTATGTCCTTCTCACATTTCAAAACACAATCATGCCTCCCAACAGTCACCCAGAGTCTTAACCATTTCAACATTAACTCAAAAAGTCCTAAGTCTCATATTTGAGATGAGAAGACAAGACAAGTCTCTTCTCCCTATGAGCCTGTAAAGTCAAAAACATGTTACTGTGCATACAATGTAAGGTACTGGGTAAATACTCCCATTCCAAAATGGAGAAATCAGCCAGAGGGGTACAGGCTTTGTGCAAGTCCAAACCCAGCAGCGTGGTCATTAAATCTTAAGGCTCCAAATATCTCCTTTGACTACATCTCTCATCCAGGGACACTGGTACAAGGGTGGGCTCAGCCTTGGGCAGCTGTACTTAACACCTGTGGCTTTGCAGGTTCAGCTCTACAGCTGCTCTCGCAGGCTGCTCTCATGGGTTGGACATTGAGTATCTGTTGACTTTTCCAGACTGAAGGTAAAAGCTGCCAGCGGATCTGCCTCCTGGGTTCTGGAGACAGTGGCACTCTTTCTCACAGCTCCACTTGGGAGGACCCCAGTGGGGACTCTGTGTGGGTGCTCCAGCCCCACATTTCTCCTCTGCACTGCCTGAGTAGAGGTTCTCTGTGAAGGCTCTGCCCCTGCAGCAGGCTTCTGCTTGGAGACCAGGCCTTCCTCTCGTGAATCTTCTGAAATCTAGGCAGAGAGAGGTTCAAATCTTACCTCTGGATTCTGTGTACCTGTAGGTTTAACAGCATGTGGAAGCTGCCAAGGCTTATGTCTTGCATCCCAGAAGCAGCGGCCTGAGCTACATCTGGGCTCTTTGAGCCATGGCTGGAACTGAGAGGCTAGATACAGGGAGCAGTGTCCTGAGGCTTCTCAGGGAGTGAGCCCTTGAGCCTGGCCTGGCCTGCAGAACCATCTAGTCCTTCTAGTTCTGGGCCTGTGACAAGAGTGGCTGTTCAGAATGTCTCTGGAAATGCCTATGCTTCCCCGCACCCGCTTCTGCAGCCTGCTTGAATTCTTCCCCTAAAATGGGCTTTTCTTTTCTACCACATGGCCAAGCTGCAAATTTTCCAAACTTTATACTGCTCCCTTTTTAAATATAAGTTCCAACTTCAGGTCATTTCTTTGCTCATGCATATGAGCATAGCACAGGGAAGCAGCCAGGTCACACCCCGGAACACTCCCTTGGGCTGCCAGAAATCTCCATCCACCAGATACCTAAATCATCTCTCTAAATTCAGAGTTCCATAGATCCTACAGGGCATGTCCAACTGAGCCTTTGCCAAGGTGTAACAAAAGTGACCTTTTGCTGCATTTCCCAATAAGTTTATTTCCATCTGTGACCTCCTCAACCTGGACTTCATTGTCCATATTACTATCAGCATTTGGCCACAATAAATAATTTAATGAATCTCCAGGACAAAACTTTTGTCACCTTCCTGCCTTTTTCTTGTGCCTCCAAGCTGTTTGAATTCGCCCATTACGCAGTTCCAAAGCTGCTTCTACATTTTAAGGTATCTTTATAGCAGTGTTTCACTCTCAGTCTCACTTTTGCTATAAAGAAATATCTCCTGAGACTGTGTTTTATAAAGAAAAGAGAGGTTTAATTGGCTCCATGGTTCCGCAGGCTGTACAGGAAGCATGATGCATCTGCTCAGCGACCATGGCAGAAGGTGAAGAGAGCAGGTCTGACCACATGATGGAGCAGGAGCAAAAAAGAGAGTGGGAGGCACCACACACTTAACTAGATCTCGCGAGAACTCAATCACTATCATGAGAACAGCACCAAGGGGTAAATCACTCCCGTGATCCACCCATCTCCCAGCAGGCCCCACCTCCAACATTGGGGATTACAGTTCAGCATGACTTGGGGCAGGCACAGCAGCAGATCCAAACCATATTACTTTATCTTTTCTTTCGAATAAGCAGTGGCATTACACACATGATGCTTTTTCCTGTTTTATTTTACTTTATGTACTAGTAATCTCTCCTGGAGTGGCAAATAGAAATTTCACTTACTCTTTTATATTTATCAAAGGAAATTCAAATTTTAGATTACATCCCTTAGAGAAGCTATATGAGGCCAAGGAAGTAGATGAGATCAATCCCTCAATAAAAACTACAGAATCAGAGGGAAGAAGGGTGGGATCCACAGACAGTCAGGCTATCTGATAAAGGAGGATTGGCAGGTATTAAGGAATTCACATGATTTCTAGGAAGCAGGAGTCAGTGGTATCAAGTAATGTTAGAAAGATTGAAGATGATAAGACCAGAGAAAAGGTAGATTTTGGTTTATGGACTCATCAGGGTTTCTTGGAATTTGTTAGGTGTCAACCACTGAGTGAAGTGGCACTTTTATGTCAAACCCAGTTCTCATCTCCACATCGCATTTCTAGCAACCCTCACCAAAGCCACTGAAAATCCTCCTAGCTTGTCATTATACAGAAACGCTTTTGCTCCTTTTGTAATTTGTTCTCTATATTGTAGCCATTAGACATAGTAACTAAATCTGGCCATGTCACTTTCTAAAGCTTTAATAGACTTATTTGATGCCAAACACCAAAATTGTCTCGTGACTCCACTTAATCTGGCCCCTGTCTCTGCCTCAGCCTTTGCCAAGCCTTCCCCGCAGGTCGCACCCTCAGCTCTAATTCACTTCAGTCATACTTGCCTTCTGCTCAGTTCTTTGAACCTGCTTGCTCTTCTTGCCTGGGACTTTTTCTACATGCTGTTCTCTCTTCCTAGAAGTAAAAGCCTTCACTGGGTAATCCCTCTTCATGCTTTCCCTAGCCTTCCAACCCCACTAAAATGAGATCCATTTCTTCATCATACGTTCTTACAACTTTCTGTATATTTCCTTTATGATAATTCTCAGTTTGTAGTTATATATTGATATGCTTATTCTAATAATGTGCATCTGCCTCACATTTAATCTTCAACTACCAGTAATATCTGTATCATTACCTCATATTAAAGATGAGTAAGATTCTATGTAACCTGCCCAAGACCACTGAGCTAGTAAGTGAGGAACTGATTTGAACCTGCAGTATTTACAAGACTGTAGTTATCATATGGGCAGGACCACGCTTGCTTTTCCTGACTGGTTCTGTTCTCACACCCAGCATAATGTTTGGGAAATACTAGTTGAAATATTTGGGATGCTGAATTAAGGAGAAAATGTACTTATATTCTTTGTTCCTCAAGACAGTATTTGGCCTCATATGTGTAATTGCACACAAAGTCAGTTTAAAATTTCCCAACACCCATTAGGAGGCTAACTACTGGGCTCCGATATGGTTAGTGTATCATATATATAGCTCGATAGGACCAGCTTTTCATTTTCTCAAAAAATTCATGTGTCATGGTTCTTTATTGTCAGGTGTGTACAAGCTGTGAGTGACAACGCAGAAGCTAATGGGTTTTGTGGGAGGTGTTGAATGGCTCTGGCAAGACGTGTATCAGAGCTCATCAGAGGGTAAAGTTCACAAAAGACCATACTGTCAGACAGAAAGAGGAAGTATCTCCAGGTAATACATGAGTTATTTTTCTTTTTTCTTCTATCTTTCCCTGCCTTTTCTTCCTTCCTGTATTGACTTGTTTTTGACAGTTTATTTGATAAGTATTAAATATATACTCTAAGTAAAAAAAGAGGTTTATATTATAATTGAAATTTAAATACTTAAAAATGTTGGAAAATGTGAATAGATGTAGAACCCTGTTTTACATTCATACTGCATGTCCTCCTGCTTCTATAAATGTCTTCAACTGGTGTGAATATAGAACAAATGGAGGAAAAAAATGCTTTTTCTTATTTTTTCTTTTATTCTAAGGTAACAACAAAGAGCGGCTTAAATATTTTATAACTCTTTTCCTTTTGATATTCTTGTTGTAAACCTGCATCATGATTATTTGTCTGATATGTGGATAGGCCAGAGAGGTTTTTTTATGTAATTATTATTTCTGGTTTTATTGTCTTGTTTTTAATGTACAGTTCACTCATATATTTTTTATTTGGTAAAATACATGCAACATAAAATTTGTCATTTAACTACAAATGTACAATTCAGTGGCATTTATTACATTTACGTGTTGTGCAAGGCATCACTATCATTTCTTCAAACTATTATCCACTAATCAGTAATATCACTTAACATCTTGAGTAATAACCTCAATTTTCTGGCTGGGACACAGTGTTTCGATGCCTGTAATCCCAGCACTTTGGGAGGCTGAGGCGTGGTGGATCACGAGATCAGGAGATCGAGACCATCCTATTAACATAGTGAAACCCCATCTCTACTAAAAACGACATAAAAACATTAGCCAGCCATAGGTGGAAGCGATTGTAGTCCCAGCTACTCGGGAGGCTGAGGCTGAGAACGGCATGAACCTGGGAGGTGGAGCTTGCAGCCTGATCGCGCCACTGCACTCCAGCCTGGGCGAAGCAGAGCAAGACTCCGTGTCAAAAGAAAAAACACACAACACAACTCCGTTTTTCTTCCCTTAGCTCCTGGTAACTTCAAACCTATTTTCTTTTTTGGAGACTGAGTCTCTGCTTTGTCACGCAGGCTAGCTGTGCAGCGCAGTGGCGCGTCTGCTCACTGCAACCTCTGCTACCTGGGTCTACATATTCTCCTGCCTGTAACTGGATTACAGGTGTGCGCCACCATGTGGCTAATTTTTGTATTTAGTGAGATGGGTTGATTGATGTTGGCCAGGCTGGTCTCGAGCCCTGACTCAAGTGATCCGCCAGCCTTGGCCTCCCTAAACACGGGATTACAAACATGAGCCACTACACCCAGCCTTTATTTTCTGTCTCTGTAAATTTGCTGATTCTGGATATTTCACACAAGTGGAATCACATGGTATTTGTTCTTTGATATTTAACTTATTTTACTTAGCGTAATATTTTAAGGATTCATCCATGTAATAGCGTGTATCAAAATGTAGCAAAACCTTTTTTTGTGTGTTTGTTGTTTGAGACTAGTGAAAGACTTGGTATAATCCCAGCACTTTGGGAGGCCGGGTTAGGGATGATTGCCTGAGCCCAGGAGTTCTAGATCAGCCTTGGCAACATGGCAAACCCTATCTACAAAGAAAAGAAAAATTAGCTGGGCGTATTAGTGTGCCTGTAATCCCAACAACCTGGGGAGATGAGATGGTGGGAGGACCGCTTGAACCAAGGAGCTTCAGGCTGCAGTGACCTGCATCACTCGCCATTACACTCCGCTTGCACGACAGTGTGAGGTCCTGTCTCAAAAAAAAAAAAAAAAAAAAAAAGAATTGCATTGCTGGGAGTTAAATTCTATATTTCATCTTGATGTGTTGAAGCTTTTTAATATAATATATTACCGATTTTCTATCTGGTTATTTTCATTTTCAGTCTGAATTCTACGTGGCTTACATATTTGTATCTTCAGAAATACTTTGAATTTATTTATCTAATTATCAGTTTTATATGTTTTAGTTCATTAATTTTATCTGTAATTCCTCTCAGGTTACCTTAGGTTTTATGTAGTGCTTCTTTTGTTTTGTTTTGTTTCTTGAGACAGAATTCACTCCATGACCCAGGCTGGAGTGCAGTGATGCGATCTCGGTTCACTGCAAGCTCCACCTCCCGGGTTCAAGCAATTCTCTCCTGCTTCCTCAGCCTCCCAAGTGCCTGGGATTATGTAACTGTGCCACCATGCCTGTCTAATTTTTGTATTTTTAATAGAGATGGGGTTTCACCATGTTGGCCAGGCTAGTCTGGAACTCCTGACCTCAAGTGATCCACCCGCCTTGGGCTCCCAGAGTGCTGGGATTACAGATGTGAGCCACCATGCCTGGTATAGGCCAGCATACTAGTTTGTCAGTTTTGACACTATTGACATTTTGAGCTGATAATTCTCTTTATTGCTGGGGACTGATTTGTGCATTATTAAAAAAAAAAGAAATGCAAATGGCTAATTACTGAACATTGTTTCATTTCAGTTATTAAAGAAATGCATTCTAGGATAGTGACGTATGTGTCTTCTCTCTCTTCTCTCTTCTGTCTCTACATACTTATTAAATTGTCAAAGATGAAAATTTTGAGAGTTCCCTGTTAATATGGTTAATAGCCACTCACACTGGTTGAGTACAAGTTGGCACAATTATTTAGCTTTTCTGTATGAATTACCCTTTAACAATTCTACCATCAGGGAATTTATCTTATGGAAACATTTAAATGATTTATAATTTTCATATGTTTATTTCAGCATTATTTGCAGTACTGAAAAATGAATAACTTACAAATATCCTTGAAGCGGTATAGTGGTTTATCTATTTCGTGAAATACTATACAGTTAACAAATAAGAAATGAGGTAGATATATATACTAATACAGAAAGGCATCTAAGGTAGAGTTAAGTGAGAAAAAAAAATCTTTAAAAGACAATATATGTACTGCCATTTATTGTTTTATAAAATGTAACACTGCACTATACTATATGTACTTCCATACTTAGAAAAACAACCAGAGGAATGCACACCAGGTTATTAATAGTAATAATTCTGAGTGTAGGATTATTTCTGAAATGTTTGGATTTGCCTTAATCATTAGTAAGATAACTGGAGGTTTACTATTTAACCATATTTATTCATATTCTGATTTTTTCACTAACATGATACAAACATTTTCCAGTTTTATCCCCACACTGAAAACTAGACAATAATAAAAATATTATTATTTCTGTGTTAATGCGCATCGCTCAGGATTTTCTTACAAAAGTAGGTTATTTGACTACTCCTTTGGACATTTTTATTATATTTTCTTTCTCCCTCTCTTTCCATCTCTTTCTGCCTCTCTGTTCTGTCTATGAGGTCTCACAATGTTCCCAGGCTGGACTCAAACTCTTGGTGCTCAAGCAACTGATCCTGTCAACTCAGCTTCCTGAATAGCTGAGACTACAGGCGTGGGCCACTGTGCTCCCGTTGATTTTCCAAATTGCATTTTCAAAAATTCCTCCCATATTTGGGATAGAAGACATCCAGGTGATTCATACTCATTTACCAGGGCTGTCTTCTTTTGAAGGCTTTTAATGCAATAAAACATATTTCTTTAACTACACACTTAGTTCTTTTCATTTACTTCTGAATTAATTTTAATTTCTTCCTGGAAAATGAAAAGGTTATTTGCTTTTTTCCCGAAATGCTGACAATATGTGATATCTTAATATTCAAAATTCTTAGTGAAAGTTATGGTATAGGTGAAGCTGTAGTGTTTATATCAATAGATGGAATTCAAATGGCCATCGAACAATTATTTACTATTCAATTATGTTCATTTTCTTCTTTCTTTTGTTCCCATTGTTTCTGCAGAGTAGTTGGTGTCACCAGCTACGATCGTGTTTTCGTCCTTTTCATAAAAAGGAGCAGTTGAAGCTGTAATTGTGAGGAGAGGTGTGACAAACTGACATGTCGAGACTGTCAGTTATTAGAGCATAAAGAACATAGGTACCAGCATCTTTGGTTTTGTATATAGATTCATATGCAGCTTTAGAGGACTAAAGGACTGCTGCCAACCCTCATCAAATGGCAGTCTGCAAATAGGTTTTAAAACCAGCAGTGGCGTTGGCCTATACCAGGGTTTATCAATTTTGACACTACTCGACATTTTGGGCCAGGTAATTCTTTTTTATTGTTGGGGACTGATCTGTGTGTTAGAGATGGTGGTTAGCATCCTCTGACTCCTCTATCAACTAGCTGCCAGTAGCAACCCCTCTAACCCTCCCAGTTGTGACAACAAAATGGCTCCAGGCATTGGCAACGTGTCCATGGACAAAATCATCCTGAATTGAGAACACTGGCCAACACACTGTTTAAAAATATATAGAACTAGTTGCCAGCATTGTAAAATGGGGAGATTTACATTTTAAAATATCTAGATTTCGCTGATAGGGGGAATGGAAGCCTTTCTCTCTAGCCCTGGGTCTGTATACATTCATGTCAACATTTGAGGCATGCTCTTTTCAGTTCATTATAGTTCATAGCAAAGCTTACTTTTAAACCTAATCTCAACAGTCATTCAGGTCAGCAACAGATGATTTAGACAGTAAGATTCAAATTGATACAAAATATAATTGCTTATGATGGTCTAGGCTCCTGATACTGGCAGACTGGATAATTTGGACCAACAGTGAGAATGACTAGAAACCTGCACAAAAATACAGAAATTATCTATATGAAATGCCAGAGCTAATAAAATAGTAAAGCATTATTGACAAGATTGGGTTGGAGCTGTGGCTAAGGATGGCGGGGCCTTACTCCCTTGGAGGTATTTGCCTCAGAGATGAGGAGTAATTTTAATAGGCTCACAGAGCTGAGAAATCACGGCCTGGAGTGCAAGGATCATGCATGGTCAATGTGTGGGGTTCCTTTTGTCTTGGAGTTCATACCCTGAAAGTCTACACTATTACAGTAAAGATAAATTAGTAAGTAGTTCCTCACAGGGACTAAAGCTGAGCACTTAAAATTGGATTAAAATGAAGTCATATCGCTGGCTCCTGAAGTTTCCTGGTAGAATCAAATGTTAAATCCGCCACAGAAAGACAAAGAAGACATTCAGGCCTCCAACCTAGTCAATAATGAATTTTGGAAAAACGATATTCACAGAATTAGAAATAACCAGGTTTATATAGGAGATGACAATGTGAACATAGTGAGACCCCATCCCGACAAACATTTGCTGGGCACAGTGGTGTGTGCTTGTATTCCTAGCTACTTGAGAGACTGATGTGCTCCCACCTGAGCTCCTGGGATTGCCTGAGTCCAGGAGTTCAAGGCTGCAGTGATAGTGCCACTGCACTCCAGCCTAAGTGAAAGGATGAGACCCTGTCTTTAAAAAAGAAAGAAAGAAAGAAAGAAAGAAAACCCTGAAAATTACAGTATCTGAAATTAACTCAGTAGAAGGGCTTAAGAACAGATTTGCACAGCATGAAATGAGAATTAATGAGCTAGAAGAAATTAAGAAAATATCCAGAAAGAAGCATCATCAACAAGAGGAGGATGAAAAGTAGAAGACATTGAAGATCTAATATGGATGTAATTGCAGTCCAAGAAGGATGGAAAGTACAGAGAATGGGAAGGAAGCAATATCCGAAGACAGAATGTAATGGCTGAGAACTTTCAGAAGCTGACGAAAGGCATTTAGCCTATATTTAAGAAGTTGCACAAACCTCTAGCAGGATAATTAAGAAAGTAATATTTTTAAAGTGCAAAAATAAAGTAACTTTCAAATCTAAAATTCTGTACCTAGTAAGCATATTCTTTAAATATGAAGGTGGATGAAAAATGTTTCAGGCAAAATACACTGGGAGAGCATATCCCCTGATAAACTCACTTAAAGTACCTCTTAGCAGAAGAAAAATAATAGAAGATAAGAGAAAGGAATATGGAGCAATTAAAATAATAGGTATGGAGTAAATCTAAATGAATGTTGACTTAGGAAACAGTATCTTTTTGGTGTGGTATGTGTATATGTATATCACATAGCAGTAAATGTGCTAAAAGCGTATGGAATTTATGTTCTAAGGTGCGTGTAATAGTCTAGAAGAGGGTAAAAGTGCAAATATTAGATGATATGTAAATATCTGTTTTTGTAATGTCTAGAGTAGTCACTAAAAGAATAATAAGTACATATAATTACCAAGGTGTGGAGAGTTGTGGGGATGTGGAATAATCCGTATAAACAAAGGCCAAAAAAAAGTGAGAAAAAGTAAATAAAGAACAGATGGAATATAATGAGGCCTTGGTAAGTTGGTAGATCTACAAATATACTATATACTAAATGTGAACAGACAAAATGTTCCAAATTATAAGACAGGTTTCGGACTGGATAACAAGGAAAATAGAAAAATGTGCTATTTTTCTTTTATGAGAAATATCTAAAACCTACTATATAAAAGACTTAATGGGAAAAGACACACCATATAAATACTAACCAGAGGCAGAATGGCATAGTAGACAAAATCCATTATTTGAGATAAAGAGGGACACTTTGTAAGGATGAAAGGCTCTCTTCATCTGAAAGATATGAGTTGTAAATTTATACAGGTTATAAACTTACAAAAAAATGACAGAACTTCAAACTAATAGAAAACTCCATAGTCACAGTGGAAAATCTTACCACTTTACGCAATAATTGAAGCCGAGTAGTGTGGCAGGTACCTGTAAGTGCTAGCTACCTAGCTACTCAGGAAACTGAGGTGGGAGGATGCCTGAAGTCCAGGAGTTTGAGTTCAGCCTGGGCAACATAGCAAGACCTATCTCTAAAAAATAAATAAGTAAATAAATACAATACAGACTAAAATCGGTAAAGATAGAGAAATAAGGCCAAGCATGGTGGCTCTCGTACAAATAAATACACACATACATAACTGACAAACAAGTAGACTAAAATCAGTAAAGATAGAGAACAAGGGCTGGCACGTGGTTTACACCTGTAATCCCAGCTACTCGCGGCTTAGGCAGGATAATTGCTGAACCTGGGAGGTGGAGGTTGGGTTACAGAGATGGCACCATTGCACCCTGGCCTAGGTGACAAAAGCAAAACTCCATCTCAAAAAAAAAAAAAAGATAAATAAGATTGAATAACACAATTAACATCTTATGGACATTATGGAACACTGTACCCCAAAATATACATTCTTACAATAAAATATTTTTAACTGACCATATGCTAAAGTCTTAAATTTGAAAAGATTGAAAGATACTATATATTTGGAAATGAAATTCTTGTGATAACTAAAGTCTGCTGATACACGATCCTGGAATTCTGGTTTAAAGGAAAAAAGTATTTAGAAGACATTACTGAGTCAAATGATCCAATTAAGAAGCATGGTCTATAGGTTAAAGTACTGTAACAAGGTCAGTTGTTTGTTTTTTTTTTAATTTTGCTATGAATACATAAGAAAATCCTTGTTTTTAGAAATGCACAATTTAATTTATTAAAGGGTTAAAGAGCTATGAGGAGGCAAACTAAAAAATTGATTAATCTGTATAAGGAGATATATGATCTCTATATGCTTGGAAATTTAACTTTGAAATTATTATAAATAAGTAGTTTAATACATTTAAATCATCAACAAGGAATTCCAGCAGATACTAGAAAACATTTTGATTTGAATGGTAGGAAAAATATCAGTCAATCAAGCCTTGAGGTTTTTCTTAATAACTGAAGCCATTTGGAGGACAGTTTATATTATTAAATGCATATGTTAAAGTGTTAAGGATAAAGTCAATTCACTAAACATTTATTGCAGTTTAGGAAAAGTAGCAGATTAAACCCAAAGTAAGTGTGTTTTAAAAGAAACATAATAAAGACAAGTGTAGAAATAGTCAGCTAAAATTCAGTCTTTCAAAAGACTACTAAATAATCAACAATTCTCTGTATGAGTGATTTAGAGAGCAGGCTCAAATAACTACTACCAGGAGTAGGTAGGTTACTCCACATTTCAAATGTTATAAATGAAAATTTTACATGATATTGGAAAACTTTAGAAAATGAAGTTTTTACCAAAACTTATGCTAAATACAATAGAAAGAATAGTCTCTTAATGTTCATTCATAATTTAAAACCTTCCACAAAGAAAATTACGCACGCAAATGACACCCCATAAATGTACCACATAGTTAAGGTAAAAATAGCCCTTTTGCTGGCGCGGTGGCTCACACCTGTAATCCCAGCACTTTGGGAGGCCAAGGCGGGCAGATCACAAGGTAAGGAGATCGAGACCATCCTGGCTAACATGGTGAAACCCCGTCTTTACTAAAAATACAAAAATTAGCCAGGCATAGTGGCAGGCGCCTGTTGTCCCAGCTACTCGGGAGGCTGAGGCAGGCAAATGAACCTGGGAGGCGGAGCTTGCAGTGAGCCAAGATTGCGCCATTGCACTCCAGCCTACATAGATGAGACTCCGTCTCAAAAAAAAAAAAAAACAAAACCCTTTCTTATACAGACTTGTCCGGAGAATGGCAAAAAAAAAATGAATTCTTTCCAACTTGTTATATGAAGCCAGCATAACTTTTACACCAAAACTGACAAGGAATAGAAATGAAAAATTACAGGCCAGTTTCACCTATGAATGAATGTAAAATTCCAAGAAATGGAAAATAAGTAGAAAACAGATGATTTGAGAGGAGGGGAAAACTTGCCTTAAATCTCGTAGTATTGTCATCTTTGGACAGTGTAATCACAACCAATTTGGCCTCATTTTGGGGATACAGAATTCATTTAACACGCCAAAATCATTGATGCTGAAACCTTTCATGTCATATTAAAAGAATAAAGGAAAAAGTATATGCCTATCTCAATAGAAGCAGTAGAAACATTCCATAAAAATTAAATATACATTCATAACATCTTAGCAAACTAGAAATAAAAAAAGAATTTCCTAAGCCTGATAAAGAAAGTAGAAAACGTACTTAATATTGGAATATTGAAAGTCTTTGCATTGAGATGAGGAACAACATAAGGGTGACCATTTTGACCATTTCATGTAACCTTATATTAAGTAAGTGTAGTAAAGAAAAAGTTTACTAAGATAAAAACTGAGTTGCCTATGAAAGTGTTTGAAATGTTATTATTCATGATATGATTATGTACAAAGGAAATCCAACAATTATTAACTGGTATCCCCTTTTCTAACTGGGTAACCCTATTTAATTACATGTAAACATTTAAAATCACATTATATAAAATATGTTAATTTAGAAATATTGTATTTTGTACATTTTATAGGAAAACTTAAACTCTTGATATGTATCTTCTATATCATTGCCTTTCTATCTTCTCTAGAACTTCTCTTCAGCAACAACATAGTCTGGCAAAGTAAATGATCTTTCCTCACTTTCAAATTGGAAACTTTTTAAAGTGCTATATCTTATTATACTGTTGCTTAAAAGTTTTATCACATGCATAACATCTAGAATTTTGCCCTTCTCTCTGTATTTATCCTGATTTTTCTTGTGGCCCCTAGAACATAACTACCTATTATTTAAAAGTGGTCTTTTGAAATGTTTGTTTTCAGCAGGCTTGCATAATGTAGAAATTACAATATAGTTAATAAGTCAGATTATATATCATTGACTATTTTTTGCCAAGTCCACCAAGTGGAAGTGAACTCTGTAAACTTATAAAACTGAATGATGGATGCATGTGGTTCTCAAACTTTCAAAATATTTACGTGTCCATAATCTTTCTTGAAGGATAATTTGAGGAGGTGGAAACTTGTTTTTATTAGGGATACATTTGATGTTTTACAAGATTGTTATATAAATTCTTTATAATCCTATTTTATAAGCTTTATCAGTCTTTTTATTTCTTGGATTCTTCTCATATGTTTTTATATAGCTAATTTGCTTATTTCTTCAGATATCAATTTATAGAAGAAGCTTTTCAGAATCAGAAAGTGATCATAGATACACTAATCACCAAACTGATGGAAAAAACAAAATACATAAAATTCACAGGAAATCAGATCCAAAACAGGTAATTTTATGGTATTATATAATCATTTTTACAATTTGTGAAGTATATTCACTTTTAGAACATTTTCCTTAACTCACAGTTAAGTAATAAGTTGTTAGATGACAGCAATAACACATGGTTGATAAGACTTTCCCAGAAACTTAGTTGAGAGCATTCTTTCTGCTGTAAAATTTCAAAACTCATATGATAATAACTACACTTAGTATTTTGATAGCTCATTTATCTAATAGGTATTGATAACTTATTATCACTTATTTTCCAATTTTAAAGAAATACCAAGATTTAAATGCAAAACCAACCATTTTGTGCCAGTATTGTAAAATATTTTAACACTTGAATGAACCCTGAATTGTTATTTTAAGGTTTGCTGAAATTTGAGATGCTTGCCTTATGATTTTTAAAACTGCAAACAGGTGGAAATTGTAAGACACTAGGATACAGGGATTGTTAAACTGTTCCAATACACTTTTTACTTCTTGCCTGATAAAAATGCTTACTTAAACAATTACTTATTATGCCTTTTGTCCTGGTAAGAAAATCATCAACTGTCCAAAGTCTTAGACATCAGTGACCGGGAGAAACTACTAACCTCCTCGCGGAGATAGGCAGCTGAAGGTGTTGTCTAACTCCTTTTTAAATCCCATGTAGGGCATATACTGACATTTAATTTACACACCTACGAAATCCCACATGACCTCTTCTGTTGTTTTACACACAAAAGAAATGTCACTGCCTACATAAGTCAAGAAATGTTCATTAGAATGAGCCAGAGTAAAAGAGACCTCACAGAGAATTTAAACGTTTTCCCATGTATCAGTTGTGTCAGCCTTTAAGACAGTCATCAATTCGTTATTATCATTTTGGAACACAACTGGGGTGAAGCATTTGGAAATTCTTAAGGCAATTAATTCTGTATTACCCGGATTTCCTTAAAAGAGATTTTTAAACATAATTTTACTATTTCTTGATGCCCCAGCATCATTATTGTATCTATTTATTATTATGCATTATGTTGTATACCTTTAGTTTTTCTCAAGTATCAGCTCTCATTTGCTTTACCTCCCCCCCCCCCCCTTTTTTTTTTTGAGACAGAGTCTCACTCTGTCACCCAAGCTGGAGTGCAGTGGTGCGATCTCAGTTCACTGCAACCTCTGCCTCCTGGGTTCAAGCAATCTTCCTACCTCAGCCTCCCAGGTAGCTGGGATTACAGGTGCCCACCACTGTGCCCAGCTAATTTTTGTATCTTTAGTAGAGATGGGGTTTCACCATACTGGCCAGCCTGGTCTCGAACTACTGACCTCAGGTGATCTGCCACCTCATTCTCCCAAAGTGCTGGGATTACAGGTGTGAGCCACCATACCCGGCCCTGTTTTTACCTTTCTCTTTGACACAACTATAGTTAATGAAATACTATTTCCTTTATTTACCATATTCTAATCAGAATAGTATATTTTGTCAAGTAGAATAATTGGTGGGTTTAAATATTTTTTATTCTGAGTAATTGAAAATTTGTAATGAATATTTATTGAATGAATGAAGAGAGATAATTATAGGCATTTCTACCATCTAGTGGCAAAAGGTAGCAATTGTAAAATAATTAATTTTAAATTAAAGATCTGCCCTTAATGAAATTTATCCCTTTGACTTTTTTCTTACTGTTTCACTGAGCATATGGTTTGAGTTATGGTCAGAGTTTACATTTTTTTCTATGTATGGATGTCAATTTCTCCCACTATCATTTGTTGAAAAAACTATTTCCCTGTGGGATTATTATTCTGTTCCATTGTGTTTTTCTCATTGCTAGTACTTCACTTTCATGATCTTGATCATCGTAGCTTTTTATGGTAAGTCTTAAGATAGTGTTGGTGATTTGTGCTTTATTTCTTCTACAAAATTATAACATTGTAACAATTTTGATTTCTGAATTGAGGCAAAAATTAAAGAATCTTTGTTAAGTGCAAATTGCTTATATATCTTTATAACCTATCTGATTATAAAAGGGTACATTTATTAGAGTAACTGATATTCATTTTTATGCATTTGCCCCCATGCCACTGTTTTTCCCTTATTCATCCTATTCTACCATCATGAATACTTAAATGAGTTTTTTGAGATTGGTTGCTTCTCAGGCTTATCTGGTTCCCTTGATCCTGTAGTAATGTTGATGTCAAGCAATTATCAATTATCTTGAAGAATTTCCAGCAGGAAATAAAGTTTCTGCCAGTTTGGTCTTAAGTTTTGGAGGGTAACTATGGGAGAAGCTTACAGAAGAAATTAAGCTTTTAATTTAATCTCACAAAGTTTGGCGGATGCTCTGTTATTTTCTATAACATATTCTGGTGTGGTACCATATGTTTTTCTTTCTGTAAGAGTGTTGCGGGAATCAGGAGACTGGAGAGACCAGTAGGTAGAACAGGAGGATTTTATTGAGTGTACTCAGACCCAGCGGATTAACAGCCAAAGACTGTGCCTAGAACAAAGACCGGACTTGGCTTTTATACACAATTCTAAAAGGGGGTGGGCTACTTTGAAACAAGCTTACAGTGGTGTGAAGCATAGTGACACGAAAGCTCAGGTACAGAAGCAGAACAAAGGCAGTTAATCATACTTTGACAGGTTCATAACTCAGACTTACATATGATTCTTGCTATGCAGCTTAGATGGCTGTTATCTAGGGTTGCTCTAGTGCCTTGCACGGACTTATCTCATAACCTTCACTATGGTGTCTGAATGGCTACAATCCAGGCCCGCTCAGGCATGTCTCATGACCTTCGCTGAACTGCTTAGATAAAACAATACTTAAAGTTACTAGTTATAGAAAACAGGAATCAATAAATTCATAAGTTTACTCATACCGTAGGAGAAAGGAAAATAAAGAAAATTTGTTTTTTTCTTCTCCCCATGTTGAGGGAGTGCTGGGAGAGTCTTCAGAGCACATTCCTTTGAGCCCTAGCTTCTTAGATAATATTATCAAGACTTTCCTGGGTCTGGGCTGTGCCTATTTCTGCCTCTGGGATAAGTCAGCCTAATGAAAGCTTGTTTTTCAAACTTGCTTTTCTCTTTTTAATTTTATTTTTCTTTTTTTCTTTAATTTCCCACCTCAAGAGAGGTATGTAGTTGATAAAACATGGTTATTTGGCTGCTAATTTTGCAAAGAATGGGTTAAGTAGCAAACTAGTATTTTTGTCTTTTTCTACTTAGGTGTGTGAATACTGTAGCAGTTCAGATTACTAAGAAAAGAGTATCACATGTACACTTTTCTAGCTTTTGGTTGCAATTAATATAGTAGAACTTGTTCAGAATCATGGTTTATAAATCCTTTTTAGTCCACCCCCACCCCCCATCCTTTTAGGTAGAGCATTGATTTTCCTGGGTGTCATCATAATTTTTCCAAACTGTATTTTCTTAAAATGTACTCATTCTTTTCTAACTCTATATATATTTTTAAGATTCAAGACTTAATTTTAAGATTAAGTGGTGATACCTTTCAGAAGAATTATATTTCTGCTGTCTCATCTTCAAGACAGTCAATTTAAAGTGAAGGACTCAGAAATAGCAGAGCTTCTAAGGGCTGAAAACATTTTGCTCTAATGTAGACATTAAAACATCAATTTTAAATATTATACAAAAAAATCTGCCTTATATTTTTCCCCCTTTTAATTTTCAGAATTATTGAAGTAAATCAAAATCAAAAGCAGGTGGAACAGGATATTAAAGTTGCTATATTTACATTGATGGTAGAAATAAATAAAAAAGGAAAAGCTCTACTGCATCAGTTAGAGGTAAGTGACTGCCCATGGGATAGTATATTGATTCAACATAGTATTTCCTAAAGTACTATGAAGTAGAAATCATAGTGCGTTTAATATAATTGTTTCATTTGTGATTTAATACTTTTTTTCTCCACTCCCAAGTTTTCCTTTGCTGAATTTTGTATTGTAGCTGACAATTTAAAACTTTATAATACACTGTGAATGTCTGATGACTGATTGTTTTCTTTATAGCACAAATTATAATGCCTTGCTTGTAGGAGGATCTCTGAATGTTAAACAGATGAGTTAAATTAACTGAAGTGAAAACTTTGCATCATAAGGGGGTTTAGTGGAGCAAAATTTTCTAGAAATATACCCTTCAGTTTAGTTCTCAAGTATATATATTCATCCCTGTGAGAAGTTAGGTGAAAGAGTACTGCTAGCCCTGCCCTCAACATTTTATAATTCTAATTGCGAGAGCAGCACTTGGGGAGATATGCCCAAGGCACTTAGTTGTTTCTCACTGCAGGTAAGAAAAACATTACTATCATCCTCAGCTTTTTAAAACTCATGAAGGTCAAGATCCAAACTTGTTTTTTCTTCAAATAATAGAAAGTTATAACACCTACATGATACATTAATCTATAATATTAATTGCATGATTTTTAAGTATTCCTTTAGTATGTTGACATAGAAAGCATATTGATACAGTAAAGAAGCAAATGAGAAAAAAATAAAAGAATCCTAATGTTTGAAGATTTGAGGAAAAAATAAGACTTCTAGAAATAATTTAGATAATTTTCTTTATGTCATAGTTTGCCAAATTATAAGGTTTCTGTCAGAAAGTTCTATCCCTTCTGGGAAAGCATGGTCATTCCTGTGTATTACCAGCTGTACAGGAAACAAAGACTAAAATAATTCTCTGTTCTTTTGGAAATGTAGTTATTTAGTGAGGAAGTATTCTGGGCAGGAAGAATCAGACCCCATTTATAGTAACTATTTGTTCAAGGTCTGTGACTTAAAAAAAAAAAAAAAAAAATTAAGTAGAAATTTAAGTTTCTAAAACTGCTTAAAATCAAATATCACTTTGATTTGCTTTCCCAGATACTACTAGTGCATACATTACTATGTCTGTGTTTTCAAACTTTACTGTGTACATCAGAATCACTTGAAGAGCTTTATAAAGAAAATGACCAGACTTGCAAATATTTAAGAATGAACCTGGTCAGTATATATCTACTGATGACCAGGTTCATTCTTAAAAAATAATTTTTTTTTGAGACACGGTCTCACTCTGTTGCCCAGATGGAAGTGCAATAGCATGAATCACGGCTCACCACAGCCTCCACCTCCTGGGCTCAGGTGATCCTCTCATCACAGCCTCTCGAGTGATTAGGACTACAAGTGTATGCCACCATGCCTGGCTAATTTTTTTTTTTTTTTTTTTTTTTTTGAGAGGGGGGGTTTTGACACATTGGCTCAGGCTGGTCTCAAACTCCTGGGCTCAGGCAGTCTGCCTGCCTCAGCCTTCCAAAGTACTGACATTACAAGTATGAACTACCCCACCTCCCCCCCCCCCCTTTTTTTTTGAGACAGTGTTTTACTTTGTTCTCCAAGCTTGAATGCAGTGATGTTTTCACTGCAGCGTTGACCTCCCGAGTTCAAGCAGTCTTCCCACCTCAGCCTCCTGAGTAGCTGTGCAACCACACCTGACTAATTTTTTATTTTTGTAGAGATGAAGTCTCACTCTAGTGAATTTTCTTATTTTACTTTTTAGAGACAAGGTCTCAGTTTGTCATCTAGGCTCGAGTGTAGTGGTATGGCCTTGGCTCACTGTAGCCTCAAACTCCTGGGAAACTGGGACTACAAGCGATCCTCCTGACTGAGCCTCCTGAGAAGCTGGGACTACAAGGCGTGTGCTGCCACTCCTGGCTAATTTTTTTTTTTTTTGTAAAGATGTGGTCTTGATATGTTGCCCAGGCTGGTTGGAGTCCCTTTTAAAGGCAAATAAACATAACCCCTTTTATCTGTTAAGACTCATAAGAAATTGGCTGAAATAGATATTTAGGATAGAAGGCCAAAAAACCAGGGCTTCTGATTCTTAATTCTCAACCTTCTTAAAAGTAAACAATTTCTATTCCTACTAGAATGTTTCAAACACTTAATAAATTTTTACAGAGGTCAAAAATAGCCTACTAGGCAAATTACTGTCTCTCTGAACTTAAATTACATATGGCAGAGTCATTGGCTGTTACCAGTCCCTCAGACAGACAACTGCAATTTCCCCCTTAACTCAGTGTAGCTCAAGTGTATTTTCCAAATCTGGAACTGACTAGGGCCAGGATCTGGGTTCACTTTTTATTGAGAATGTAAGTCCATGTTGTAGTATAGCAATTTTAGTTTTAAACTTTTCTAATTTATCTGAGACAGTAGAAAGTCCTGTTCTCCTTTTTCCTTGCTAGATCTAGGATGAGGTTTTTGGATAGGAACCTTTAAAATACCCAAGTTCAGTGTGCTCTACTTTTGATTATCTGCCTTCTCTAAGGAAAGTACATACATACTTCCCTTAGAGAAATCTATATTATTTTATGTATCTTTTCTTAAAGTGCATTGGCACAATCGTGCATCTGTTGGCTCCCATGGTAATTCTCAATAGACAGAAATAATGTGATGCCTTTTAAAAAAATTACCACATACAAAGGATAAGTGTCATCTACAACACAGCATGACTCTGTTTTGCACAAACTACTTGCAATTGCAACTGTGAAGTAGAATCCCTAAAAGGTGAAATCATATGATTGAGTAAATTACGTGATTGAGTTACTTTACAGGTTTGCTGGATAGTACATCTGTCTTATTTGTGAATGTTGAATTTCATAGGCTTTTATTGTATTATAGCTAATCTATCCTTTTTTATGTATTGTAAGATGCACGAACAGAGTTAACTCCCAGAATAGGTAAGGCCCCTGATCCAGGGTCTTGAGGGCTGAGGGGCCACATTTGGGATGCAGTTTTTTGCTATAGTGAAAATGATCCTTTGTACTAATAGGGAAAACACTAAGAGTATTTTTAGTTTCAGTAAATTGAGTACTTAGAGATTGTAGTTATTCTAATTTGTTTACCTGGAAATGACCATTAAAGTCTGTGTTACATGCTGATACTAATTTTGAAATTATTTTCTTGTTTTCAGAGCCTTGCAAAGGACCATCGCATGAAACTTATGCAACAACAACAGGAAGTGGCTGGACTTTCTAAACAATTGGAGCATGTCATGCATTTTTCTAAATGGGCAGTTTCCAGTGGCAGCAGCACAGCATTACTTTATAGCAAACGACTGGTAAGATAAAGTATGCTATTTAATATACTGTATAAATGCACAGTAAAACAATGGAGCCATTGTAATGCTTGAAATTTATTCTGTTTGTGCGTTAATGCATTTTACCTATTTCTAATATTTATCAAAATATTTTGGTTTAAATATTTTTACCTGGCATAATTTGGATGTAATTTCAGTTTTAATTTGTCATGAATTCCTTCTTTGTTCTTTCCAAGTATTCACTGTCTTCATAGCAATTGAACTTGATACCAAAAATAAGGACGATAGTGAACATTTTCTGATTACCTATAGTGTGGCAGGTACTAATTCTAAGAATTTCCATGTAATATATAAACTTTTACATCATTCTTATGAGATATACCTATTCACCTCCATTGTACACATGATGAAACTAAGGCAAGTGATTATGTAACATGTCTAACATCACACAATAAGAGGTATAGCCAGGGTTTATAATATGATCTCAGACATGACCTGAGCCTGTGTTGTTGTTGGTGCTACACGGCAATCTGTGGTGTTGGATGTTTTTGCCACAGAAAAATAGCTCTGTGATTTGGTGAACTATTTGACACTGGTCTAGAACCTTGCTACGTAACATGTGACTACCACATCACTTGAGGATTCTGGTCAGGAGGTCTGGGGTGGGGCTTGTGAATTTCTAACAAGCTTGCAACTAACGCTGATGCTACTTGGTCTGTGGGCTGTGCTTTGAGTAACAAAGATAGAGAAGACATTTAGCTACATTCTTTAAAATTCCTGCTTTACATTCATCTTATTAAAGATTCAACAGAGATTTATACTCCAAAGTATACTATAAACCGTAGGTTCAGTTCCAGACTATTGCAATAAAGCAAATATCATAATAAGCCTAGCCATACAGTTTTTTTTAAGTTTTCCGGTGCATATAACTGTGTAATAGTATTATGTTTTAAAAAAAACAAGGTATATACCTTAATTAAATAATCTTTTTTTTTTTTTTTGGTAGACGGAGTCTCACTCTGTCACCCAGGCTGGAGTGCAGTGGCGCCATCTCTGCTCACTGCAAGCTCTGCCTCCCGGGTTCACGCCACCATTCTCCTGCCTTAGCCTCCTGAGTAGCTGGGACTACAGACGCCTGCCACCACGCCTGGCTAATTTTTTGTATTTTTAGTAGAGACGGGGTTTCACCGTGTTAGCCAGGATGGTCTCGATTTCCTGACCTCATGATCTGCCCGCCTCGGCCTCCCAAAGTGCTGGGATTACAGGCGTGAGCCACTGCACTCGGCCTAAAGAATACTTTATGGCTAAAAATGTTAATCATCTGAGCCTTCAAGAGTCAATCTTTTTGCTGATAGAGATTTTGATGGCTACTGGGATTGTAGTTGCTGAAGGTTGGGATAACTGTGGCAATATCTTAAAATAAGATGACAAGTTTACATTGATTGACTCTTTTTTAATGAAAGATTTCTGCATAGCATGCAATGATAATTTGATAGCATTTTACCTACAATAGAACTTCTTTCAGAATTGGAGTCAGTCCTCTCAAAGCTTGTAGCTGCAGTATCACCTAAGTTTATGGAATATCCTAAATTCTTTGTTGTCATCTCAACAATGATCACAGCATCTTCACCAGGAGAAACCACTTTTCTGTGCTCATCCATAAGAAGCAACTGTTCATCCATTCAAGTTTGATCATAGGATTGCAGCAATTCAGTCACATCTTCAGGCTCTACTTCTAATTCCAGTTCTTTTGCTGTTTCTATCACATCTGTAGTTCCTTCTTCACTGCAGTCTTGAATTCCTCCAGGTCATCCCTAAAGGTTGGAATCAACTTATTCCTAACTCCTGTTAATATTGGCATATTTATCTCCTCCCATGAACCACTAAGGTTCTTAATGGCATCTAGAATAATGAATCTTTTCTAGAAGGTTTTTAATTTACTTTGCCCAGATCCATCAGAGGAATCACTGTGTATGGTGGCTATTATACTAGCCTTATGTAATGTATTTCTTTTCTTTTGTTTTTTTTGAGATGGAGTCTCACTCTGTCGCCTAGACTGGAGTGCAGTGGCGTGATCTCAGCTCACTGCAACCTCTAGCTCCCAGGTTCAAGCAATTCTCCTGCCTCAGCCTCCCAATAGCTGGGACTCTAGGCATGCACCACCATGCCCAGCTAATTTTTCTATTTTTTTTTGTAAGAGACGGGGTTTGCCTATGTTTTCCAGGCTGGTCTTGAACTCCTGACCTCAAGTGACCCGCCTGCCTCGGCCTCCCAAAGTGCTGGGATTACAGCATGAACCACTGCACCAGCCACATAATGTATTTCTTAATAATTATTTCTTAAATAATACTTGAGGCCATGCACCTATAATACCAACACTGAGAGGCTGAGGCAGGAGGCTCACTTGAGGCTTGGAGTTCAAGACCACCCTGCGCCGCAGGGTGAGACCCTATCTGTACCAAATGGAAAAAAAAAGACATGAGAATCAGAATTACTTCTTGATTCATGGGCTGCAGAATGGATGTTGTGTTAGCGGGCATAAAAACAACCTTAATCTCCTTATATATTTCCATGAGAGCTCTTAGGTGACCAGTTGTATTTAATATTTTAAAATCCTTTATTTTCTGAGCAGTGTGTCTCAAAAGTGGGCTTAAAATAATAACTAAAATATATTGTAAGTAGGTGTGCGGTCATCCCGCCTTTATTTTCACTTATAGAACACAAAAACAGTATAGATTTAGCATAATTCTTAAGGGCTCTAGGTTATTTGGAGTGGTCAGTGACCATTGGCTTCAACTTCAAGTCACCAGCTGCATTAGTCCCTAACAAGAGTCAGTCTGTCCTTTGAGGATTTGAAGCCATGCATTGTATGAAATTTCTAGATGGCATCATCTTCCAATAGAAGTCCGTGTCATCTACATTGAAATGTGTTATTTAGAGTAGCCACCTTCGTCAATGATCTTAGCTAGATATTATGATTAATTTGCTGCAGCTTCTACATTAGCACTTGGTGCTTCACCTTGTACTTTTATGTTGTGGATACTGCAGAATGGATGGTTTCTTTCCATAAATCTCATGGACCAACCTTTGCCACCTTAAAACTTTATTTTGCAGCTTCCTCACCTCTCACCTCTCAGCTACCTCACCTCTCACAGCCTTCATTGAATTAAAGAGAGTTTTAGGACATTTCTCTGAATTAGATCTTGGGTTAAGGAAATGTCATAGCTGGTTTAATCTTCTATCAAGACCACAAAACTTTCTTCCTGTCAGCAACAAGTCTGCTTGGCATTCTCATCGTTCATGTGTTCACTGGAGTAACACTTTTGATTTCCTTCAAGAACTTTTCCTTTACATTCACAACTTGGCTAACTGGTGCGAGAGGCCTAGCTTTCAGCCTGTCTCAGCTTTGGACCTGCCTTCCTCAGTAAGCTTACTCATTTCTAACTTTCGATTAGTGAGAGTCATGCAACTCTTCCTTTCACTTGAACACTTAGAGACTATTGTAGGGTTATTAAATTGTTGCGTCTGAGACTAGGGAGGCCTGAGGAGAGGAAGAAAGAATGGCTAAATTGGTGGTACAAACAGAGTATACTATTTATGTTTGCTCTTACGTGGAAGTAGTTTGTGATGTCCCAAAACAGTCACAATATTAACATTAAAGACCACAGATCACTGTAACAGATTATTGTTAAGAATTACCAAAATGTGACAGAGACACATGAGCATGTGCTGTTGGAAAAATGGTGCTGATTTTCTCAATGTGGTGTTGCAAACCTTAAATTTGTAAAATTTACAGTACTTACGAAGTGCAGTAAAGCAAAGCTCAGTAAAGTGAGGTGTACTTGTATTACTACCTCCAAATCAAGTTTTCTGTCACCTATTCCAAAAAATGGAAGTCCAGAAATTATCTATACAATTTTAAAATAAGAGAATGTGATTCTGGATAAACTTTATGCAATAACTTCGAATATTGAGTCACATCAGAGTTCTGTAACTTTTCTTAATAATGAATTGTATTTAATTGTTAGGATTTGTTTTCCTTTCATAATTATCAGTGCTATGGTTTCTATCCTGATTTTTATTTTTTCATTAGTTTTAATGGAAAACATCTATATACTATATACCTTCTGTATTCTGTTACTTATATTTTTCTGAAAGTCAAATAGAAAAGGGATAGAGGGAATAGAGAATTATGTTTTTCAACTTAATCCATCATGACTATGTATGTGTAAGATACATTATTCACGCAATCAGATAAGCATTCCTTCAATTTCCTTATCAATCTAAAAATGTGTTTTTCATTCTGTTCTGATTTTTTATTGTATTATGGAGAAAATAAAAACAGGAGATGGGATAAATTAATTTACACAATGATCTGTTGAAATAGGAATGAAAGAGATAGTCATCTGTATGATACATAGAAGAAAATAGGAACAGTGAATCATATAGTACTAGTGTTACCATTATCTTGGTTAACTAAATTTTAAAACACTGTGGAACCCAAGTGAGCATTGATGCATTTCTAGTGGCAGCTATAGATAACAATTTGCCTGTAATGCGTGCAGAGCTGAGGTTTGTGATTATTTTTAAACATTTAGAAGATTTTCTAACTTCAGAAAATGTGAAAATCATTATATTGTATAACTCTATTCTCCAGAGTTCTGCTTTGTAAATATAGCCATGTTTACTTAGGTTATCCTTTAAATGATGGATTTTATATGCTTAAAAAATGAAAATGAAATGCCTAGCAGCCCTGAAACCTCAAGCTTGGCTTGCTGTTTTTAAAAATTTATTTATATTTTATTATATATTTAATGTATACAACATGATATTCTGACATATATGCATATTGAAATTATTGTTTCAATCAAACAGATTAATATTCATTATCCTAGTTACCTTGTATCTGTGTGTATGATAAGAACACCTAAAATCTATAACAAATTTTTGATATACATTACAGTGTTATTAAGGAGGTTTTTTTGGTTTGTTCTTTTGGGGTTTTTTGTTGTTTTTTTTTT